TTTCAGCTGACATTGAAGGGATTTTTTTACAGGTTGGAGTCCGTGAAGAAGATCAACCTTCTCTTCGTTTTTAGTGGCGGGAGGACCCCACATCAAGTGAGGTAGTTCACAATATACGCGTCACATTTTTGGTGCCCGTGACTCACCGACTTGTGCAAATTTTGCTTTGCAGAAAAGTGCATCGAATCTTCAAGCTGAGTACACCGAAGCTGCTTCGGCTGTTGTCCAGTAGTTTTATATGGATGATTATCTGGATTCTTTTCAAAACAGGGATGACGCCTTGAAATTAGGTAGGGATTTAGTCTCGTTGCTTAAACTAGGTGGGTTTCATCTGACAAAATTTTTCAGCAACGTGCCCGACGTAACAACCGCTCTTGATCCGGACAACCGTGAGTCCAATTCCTCTGTTAAAGATATTTGTACGAGTCTAGACCAGTCGTCGCATGTTCTCGGTCTTAAGTGGGATCACGTAAAAGATACCTTAGTCGTTAGTAGAGGGGTTGATTGTCCAGTAGACAAAGCAATCACCCAGCGTACCGTGTTGAGTTTGTTTTTGATCCAATTGGATTAGTGGCTCCGTATACCAAGAACGCTCGCCTTCTATTAAAAGATATCTGGCGAATCAGCGGTCAAAAATGGGACAATGATCTGCCAGAGGAAATCAAAAAGCAGTTCCTTGAGAGGCACTCAGGTCTTCATTTGTTAGGTTCTCTGACAATACCTCGTAGCTATTTCACTGACCCTTTCGACCGAATAGAACTTCACTTGCTCGGTGATAGTCCGCAGGATGTTTTTTGTGCCGTGGCTTTCCTTCGTGCGCGACTTGCTAGCTCGCATCAGACCAAATTAGCCTTTGTGTTTGGCAAAGCCCGTCTTGCGCCTGTGAAAGCGCTATCTATTCGCAAGTTAGAGCTTCAAGTGGCTCTTCTTGCAACCCGCCTAAAAAAAGAAAATTTGAAAGGTCTAACTTTCAATATTACGGATATTTTCATGTGGACAGATAGTACCACTGTTCTTCAGTGGCCTAACTCCTGTAATAAATACCCGTTTTTGTTGGTAATAGCACTGGTGAGATTCTGGAGTCTAACACCACTGATCAGTGGCATCACAGACTTAGCGGTGATAACTCAGCTGATACCGGTACACGAGGGATTTCTTCGGAAGCCCTCAAGGAAAGCAGCTGGGTTAATGGCCCTAGTATACTGAGAACGACTGATTGGCCGTTCAAGCCCGATACAAGGGTTATTGATAAAATAAGATTCAAATGACCATCATGTGAGATCGACATTTGTCTGTAAAGTTTGTCAAATTTCTTCGTCGATGTTTTGACAGAAAAAAATCTTTCCTTCGGAAAATGGGAGAGATTCAACTCAATTGTAAAATACAAACGCATAGTAGCCCTTTTGTTAAGATGGCTGCCATCCCATAAACATTTCCGGTCGACTATATTACAAATTAAAGACCTGTGTGAAATGGATATTGCTGAACAGAAGCTCATTTACCTCTCCCAGGGTGAGACATTCCCTAGTGAGCTAAAACTACTAAGATCCGGTAAAGTTATCACGAGGAATAGTCGGATCGCCAAGTATTCGCGTTCGTTGGACCAACTGACATCCTTCGCTCGACTGGGCGCATCAGCCGCTTGGTTAATTCCGATTTCGATAGCAAGCATCCAAATATTCTTGATGCACGTCACGCGGTTGTTCGGTTATTGGTTAAACACTTGCACGTTAGGAATTTCTATCAAGGCTTGGATTACATGCGTGCGGTGGTTAATTTGAAATACGTTGTGTTAAATTTGCGATGATTGCTGTGAAACATTGAAAATACTTGCATTGCGTGCCGAAAACGCAAATCGCAAACCGTAACTCAAACTAAGGCTGATCTGTCCATTGAAAGGCTGGGTTACAAGCACCCCCTTTCTCTAACACAGGTGTCGACTATTTTGGGCCGTTCCTAGTTCCAATCCGGAGAAGCACGAAAAAAAGGTGGGGTTTTTTGTTCACCTGTCTCACCACTAGAGCGGTGCACATTGAAGTGGTCCCCTCGCTGGACACAAGCTCTTGTGTGATGGGCGTGGAGAGGTTTATTGCACGTCGCGGTACTCCGACGACCATCATGTCCGACAACGATACGAACTTTGTTGGCGCTCAGAAAGAGCTCTTAGCTTGCGTTGAGAGTTGAAACAAGCTCGCACCCGCTGTTTTTGTTCAGAAAAGAATCAAGTGGAAATTCAATCCAACCAGAGCACCGCACCATGGTGGCTCCTGGGAGCGATTAGTTCGTAGTGTCAAGCGCGTTTTGTATGACATCCTAAGCAACAGAAGAGTAACTGAGGAGGTTCTAAGAAAAGCGCTGTGCCTTGTTGAGCAATCACTTAACGCTAGACCGATAACAGCCTTTAGTACCAATCCACTAGGTCTAGAGGCGTTGACCCCGAATCATTTTATCCTTGGTCAACACGCAGCGAGTTTTCCATTGCTAAGTTTCGAAGAAAACTTCGACCATAAGAAGCGGTTTGCCAGAGCGCAATCATACGCTAACGCAATATGGACACGGTGGACGCGGGAATACGTTCCTTCCCTCAATAGGAGGGCAAAGTGCCACAACCAGTCAGAAGTTAAGTTGAAAACCGGCGACTTGGTTTGGGTCATAAAGCCTGACACTTCACGTGGACATTATTCACTCGCACGTATCCTAAGACTGCACTATGGCAAATACGGATGCGCGAGATCCACCGACATAGAGACCGTTACGAGCGAACTGACTCGCCCGACCGTACAGTTCGCTCCCGTTCGTCCTTGTTTAGGGGTGGAGGATGTTGCAGCGCAAATGTAAGCGAGAGTATAAATGCATATAAATGTAAATGCATATATGGACAGTAGCCGAGCCTATACAGGGTGCGTCCCGGCGGGTTCGGCGCCGGTTCGAATCCCGCCTAGGTCATTTCCTTTCTAGAACTCAAATATTCTCCGAACTTGATGGGACGCTCCGGAACCAGGTTCGAACTCCACCCCTCTAAACCTATTTTAACCCTCTCTTCGCTCTTATTTGGTTCAGCTTTGATTAAGGCTGACCTTTAAGAAGAGCAATTTGTCTCAATAACAAATACTGGCCATTTTAGCAGCTTGCTTTGAGTTATGCAGTTTTTGTGGCCATTGTTAACGATGATGAAAAACGTTTTGAAAATTGTTTAAACTATGAATTTCCAGAGTTATATTTGCCGAGAAGTTGCTCTGTAATTCAACTGTTTGAATGTCGATATTTTTACGAATCAATTTGTGGAGATTTACGCGCACAGGGTGTCCTGTAGTTTTTTTCTTTTTCCTTTTTTTTCTTTTTGGTTTCAAGGCAAAATCAGTTACCACAAGTAACCATGGGACAGTGTTGTGTGATATATCATAAAAACGTTTTTTCAATCATAATTTGAAACAATTTTAAAAAATTCCGAACATTTTTATCTAGAGTTGAGAAAAACCGGTTTGAATTTATGATTTTTCGTCTAATTTCGTGCGAGTGAGCAGGCTTACATTAGCTTATTTATGCTAAATTTAAGCCTTAAAAATCAGTTTTCTTAGTCCTTTTCTTTGGAGTTTAAGCTCAATTAGGTTTTGAAAAGATCAAAAATCTGAGAAACGAAGTTTCAAAATTAAAAAAAAAAAACTTTTTTACCATGCTTTTCGTTTTTCTAGTAATTTTCTTCAAATTTTTTTTTTTTCAAATTGCCTGTTTTACTATGGCTGGTCTGCCAAAGATGTCTAAGTTCTAGTTTTTTTTCAGATCCTTTTATCACACCACGGAGAAAAATTGATTCTTTTTGAAAAAAAAAAAACTTTTTTCGTATTTTTTTAAGACTGGTCGGAACATTCTGTGCTACTTGCGCAGTAACCTGCTATCCTTGCTCTAACTTACAAATGCCTTTTCAGATTTCAGAAGCGAAAGTGATCTCTCGACTGAATGAAGTTAAAATATATTTTGAGCAAAGTTGACATATCTGATATTTTTTCTGTTTACACGACTTTTTACATACACAAAACCTATTTGGATTGCACACAATGCTCACATGGCTCTTTTGGTTGGTATAGTTTCTGCCAGATAGTCAAAACACCGTGTTTTTTCAATACAAATAACTTTTTTCTGCAATTAAATTGGATCTGCGTAACAATATCAAGCTACAAAAGAGGGGTGAATAATGTTCAGTAGACAAGTTATTCAGAAGGCACTAAAGTTAGAACTCTCAACAGAAAGCTATAGTGCTAATTTACAGTTTGTATTTATAGGAGTGGAAATTTTTCAGTACATATAATCGGGTGGGGGTGGGGGGGCTGTGATTGTAACTTTTTCGGAGAGGGGCGACGGGCAGAACTGTTCATACTTTTTTCCTTTTTTCAAGTTCAAAAAGTTAGTTTTTTTTCGTATTATTTTTGTTCTGATTGTCATTATTATTTTTCCGACCATTAAAAATGGGTAAACATTTTGTATTTGGGTGTGTTTTGGTACTTTTATTTTTTTCCACGTAAAATCAGGAACCAAAACCAATCAACGGAGTAGGTCTATTGCTATATAATAAGAAAGCTCTTCTAGTCGTCTTTCGAACGACATTGAAAATTTTCGAAAAATTCTCTGAGTATTGGGAAAAACCTGTTTATAATTTTTGAGTTTTTGTCTAATTTCGATTTTTTGGTGTGAAAGTATAAGATATCCTCGCTCACTTTACTTGCTCCAAAACAAACTAAAAATTTCGATTCAAGTAGTGAATAACCTAGTGATAGAAACTTAAAACGATAGGCTCATTTAACGCTTCTTTAGCAAAGAAAGTTTTTTTTCAATCACTTTTTTTGTTTGCTTTTCAAAATTTTGAATTGAACCGCTGTAGATTATGTCCAATCCAATAATATTCTTCGCGATCGTGAGTAACAGGCTACCCTAGTTATAACTATGACTTTTATGGTTTCTCGTTTCTCTTTACAATTGTTACAGTAGGTTTTCATTCTTGTTACCCTGAATAACGCAGGTGACGGAATGTATTGCCACTCTGAGGGTGGCCTTGATCATAGACAGAGTGGCCAGTATCAGCTGCGCCATGACTGCCACGCCCGCAAAGTGAGACAGTATCAAGAAAGCCCTGGCCGCCTGTGTATCCTGCCAGTCTTCTGCAAACACAAAACGAAAATATAATTCAAATAACTACACTTCGCGGGCTGATATCATATGATTTCAAATAAACACGGTCTGGTTTTATTTTGACCTTTTCCATTTTCCCTCTCTTCAAATTCAAAGATATATTTTTCGAATTCAGTTCAAATTATCTGTTGAATCAGTTAAAATGTTCGAGCGGCAAAAAATTCATATCAGAAGCGGTGCTGAAATCTTCATTTGGTTCGTAACAAGAAGTTCGCCGTTCTTTTAAACGGTGTATAATCACAAAATGTAATGAACAAGATTCGGGCCGAGTTCTACTATTGTTTAACTTCCGAACTACTCACTTGAATCAGGGAAGGAAGACTTTTTCACTTCGGAACACGAGTCACCAACACAGACTTTCCACAGGCCCGCGTGCGTGTTTCCGCTTTTCTTGATTTCGTTTCCATGGCCGAGGAGCCCAAACAGCAGAACAATGAATTGCATGGCAATCACGGCCAACAAGTACCAGCGAATCTCCATTTTGCTTTTTGTTCGATTAAGTGAACCACGAATGTGAACAAGAATCAAATACGAACTTACGCTTTTTTTTAACTGAATTTGGCGTGCAAAGTGAAAAAAGTGTGTGTAAATGTTACAACAAACAATTAATCTCTTCAAATTTGATACATTCTTTTTCTCATAAAAAATACAAACGTATTTGAGCAATTGATGCATATAATTTGCACTTATAAATGTTCTTAAACATTTATTAAAGAATCGTCTTAATAAATAGGTATGATAAATATAGTCAAGTTTTACTGTATCTGAAATCAAAACATCAACTCGCTTTGATCAATATATCCATCATTGTGAATATGAAAAACTCCAAGCGGCATAAAAGTTCGAACTTGCCAGAAATTTTTGATAAAGTTCGTTTTACTTTTCAAATAGCAAAAATCACAGCCATATAAAACAAGACTGCTCGTATCAGGGCGAAGCCCTGAATGGTCCGACTGCCTTTTAAGGTTTATGGAGCAGAAGTAAAAACATAAAAAAATTAAATGAAATTAAAAAAAATGAAATTTTTTTTTCAAAAATTTGGAATTTTTTATGAAAATCATCCCCCCACACGCCATATAAAGTACAAAAAGAGAGATTTCGTTCCTTGTAACAAATCAATTATGGCAAATAAGCTTCGTTCAACCAATTTGGAACGATTTATAAGACGGATTAAATCTCCGCTTACGCGTTAATAGCGCGAATTAAATCGCGCGTTAATTGTCCCAAATTGGTCAAACGGCCATCTTTAAACCCTCATAACTTTTCAAAAATTGATCACAGGTGAAATATCTTTTCAAATTTAAGCTCAGGACAACAATACCTTCTGAGTGATATAAAAAATTCCGTCAAAAATGGCTAGTTAAAAAGTCGAAATTTGTCTGAAGAAAAAAAAAAACCCACCCCGAGCACAAATATTCCGTTACTTTCGTATCGAAAGTCGGAACAATAATGTTTGAGTTGTTCTTATGATGTTGAAATCATTTTGTCATTTTTTGTCCTAAATCCGCAAATTTTTAAATAGATCTGAATTTGGCAAATGTCAAACATGTTGGTTGATCTCAATTTTAATTCTCAAAAGATAAGTAGAATCTGACAGTGACTAGTATAAAGCTCGACAAGAGTTAAACTATTAAAAATAAAACTCGTATTAATATAAAGATAGATATTAAGAAAAAGTTAACTCCGAAATACATAAAATTAATTTTGATTAAGTGTTAGAAATTATCCTCGTCTTTTTTGTTTTCTGGGATCTCGTCTCGACCAGCTTCAGGGATCGTGCTCGGAGTGGATTAATGTATCAACTAGATTTCTTTGTAAAACTGTATCAATTTTCGCTTTTATGTCAAGACTGCCAAACACCACTGCAGAATCACAGCGATAGCGATGATAGTGCTCCAAAACAGGAGACCAGTTGGACCAATGACGATCAACTCACAGGAGAAGAGACCGAGGACGAGGGGAGTCTCAAATCCCCGACGGGAGTCATTGGGGGAGGAGGCGGGGACGATGAAGAAGGGGTGGGCGGGATAGGTTCCGGGGGTCGGAGGCGTAGTCGGACTGCATTCACTTATGAACAGCTGGTTGCTCTGGAGAATAAGTTCAGATGTTCCAGATATCTCTCTGTCTGTGAGAGGCTGAACATCGCCCTGGCTCTCAACCTCACTGAAACTCAGGTGAAATGAATCAAAAGTTTCAAATTATACGACATTGTAGTCCAACTTTTGGCCCATACTCATTAATCGTTAATATTTGTCACTACTTTGGTTACTTTTGGTTATTTTACGTCATTCATTTTTGGTCCTTCGATCTTAAAGGTTTTCTAAGGTGCATTTGGCGCCAATATTTACTAATTTTCAATTTTTGGTCAAAACGTTCTAAAAAGGAGAGCCAAAACGGCATTTTGGCTTGTTTTTGTAACACTCGCGTGTTGTCCAAAAGCAGGGCCTTTGTAGTGTTTTGGGAGAGCACGGTAGCTTAGTTTCGTCGACCTTAGAAAGTCCAAAAAAGTTTCGAGAAAAATTCAGACCACCACCTGAATTGAACCTCGTGAACTGAAACTGATTGACTTCTTTTTAGGTGAAGATCTGGTTCCAAAATCGACGGACTAAATTCAAAAAACAGAACCCTAATGCACCCTTGATCGACCAAGAGCTCCTGGGAAGTAGCGGGGCTTCTGGAAAACGAGGAGGTTGTCACAGATCAACAACCCACCATCAAAACCACCATATTAATAATTGCCACCACATTCAACAACACCTCCATATGACGTCAGCAGTCGTATTAGCCAATCAGTGGGCTGCGTCGGGGGCTTTCAAACTCGCTCAAGCTACCAACGGCCTCGGCTCGATTCCGACATCGGCCGCATTTTTTGCATGTAAGACATCGGGTCTCGGAAAAGCAGAGTCATTGATAGGAGAAAATGCTAGCGCTTCAATCAGAGATTTTCCACAATTCTAAACCACAGAAACGAATTGTCATCAAAAGCTTAAAAATGGACGATTTGTTGATAAATGTTTTTTTTATATTTCAATGTTTAATTAAATGCTTGACTATCTACGTCTAAATTAGCACTTAGCAATGGTACATTCTGTTATATTTATAACTATCGAATGTATTAAATATACATTTATTAATTTATGTTTTATGTTTTTGCAATATAAATTTTGTTTTTAGAGAGAATTTTGAATGGAGCTCAAATAAAACATTCCGTCAAGCTATTTTTGAGAAAGAAAAAGCAGAAATAAACATTTTAATTACAAAACAAAGTGACCATTGCATTAGAAAATGTTTAAAAAAAGTGTAGCATTGATATTAATGAGTAATCAAAAAATAAAAAATTATCACATGAGTTCAAGAATTCATTGGAAACTGAAGAAACTTGAAGCTCTCAGTGTTTTGTTTCTTTAGGTAGATTAGATTTTAATTCAGTCTATTTTGAAATTTAAAATCCGATATTCGAATTATTATCTGTCGTTGGAACTAGGGAAATAAAACCTAGAAAGTTATCAAAACTGAAATGCTTCTGCGGAATGCTTCGTTTTTGGCGAAACTGAACTTTTCTTTTCGGTGGTTTTTTTGCTAAATTTTTAGAGGAATCACAGAGCAGAAAAATCTCATCTGTTTTTCCGATCATTATCGATGATTGCAAAAGAATTATGGTGGGATTTTAAGGGTCCCCCTTCAAGCACTTCAAAGATCATTCGTAAGGGTTCAACTCTGCCATCCTATTACGTCAAAAAAGAGAAAAGAGCCAATTTGAGGTTAAATTAATTTAATAGTGCTTCGTTTTGACCAGCTTCATTTTAATATTTTGAATTTTGTAGTAATATCGATCCAATTTTGCCACAAAAGTTTTCCATTTCAGAGTTCATCATTTATGGGCTGGGTTATAACCGAAAAGACCCCGAAATCTCCAGTTTTTTTCAGTTTCTTTTCCTTGTTCTTATTTTTGAAATTAGTGGCGGAATATGTGTGCAATGTGAGAGACGGAACATTTAGGGCTTCGCTTAAAGTAGAAAATCACATTGAAATGATTTTGTTTTTTCACTCTTCTTGCTTCGCTTTGTTCTTGAAGACTCTTTAGAAAAATTGAATTGATAATAAAACACGTTCTAAAGTAAAATGAGGTTCATGGACCACAGAGTTTTTCAAAGTAGTTCGGATTTTGTTGGTGTGCATATTTATCTTATATTCAATTACGCACCGCGAGACGACACAACGAAGAAGAAGGGCAAGTAGATTAGACGGTAATTGTTGAGACAAACGACAAACTAATAATGGACTAAATTATGACGTCAATAGCACCACGAGCACAAACATTCCGTTAACCCACCACGAGCACAAACATTCCGTTATTTTCGTTACGAAAGTCGGAACATCAAAACATCTCGTATCAGGGCAAAACCCTGAATGTTCCGACTGCCTTTCAAGTTCAATAGAGCAGTAATAACATTTAAAAAACAGTAATAAAATAAAAAAAACTAAAAGTTAAATAAAAAAACGGACTAAATATCCGCTTACGCGTTATTAGCGCGCAATACATCACGCGTTATTGTTCCCAAATTGGCCGAAAGGGTAATCTTTACGCCCTCATCACCTTACAAAATGATTACAGGTCAGAACAACAACATCTTTTGAATGATATCAAAAAAGGCTAGTTAAAAAATCGAAATTTTTCTGAAGAAAAAAAACCACACGAGCACAAATGTTCCGTTACTTCGTTGCGAAAGTCGGAACAACAAGCGAGCTTCAAAACAAACAAGATTAGCCGGTCGCTGTGCATATGGCACACAAAGTTCCGCCACAATTCATTCCGTTTTTTCATTTTTTTTTTCAAATTAGAAGTTGTTTTCTGGGCGGTGCTATAAAAAAAATATGCGAACGCGTAGAAAGTAACTGATTTGGAACTTTGATTCAACAATTTGTTTGTGAAAAAAGACTAACAAAGGAATTTCAGAGAGGTTGTTTTAAAATACTTTTTAACATTTTTGCGATTTTTCTTTTGAATATAAGAAACATTGCCAAAACCGTGCTAAACTTTCTTGAAACAAGTTAATTTTCTCACAGCGTGAAAAAATTTTTCTCGTTTATCTGTTTGTCGATGATATAAAAAACAATCATCAACAGAATGTTTCTATCACCAGACTGAGGTTTTCAAAATATGTATTTGAAAGAAAATTGTCTAAAAATGAACGGTGGATTCAAAGCGAAAGCATTTGATGTGATTATTGGAAGCGAGCATTTATGATTAGTTTTACTAGGTTATAACATCAATTGCAGTTCATTGTTTTTATGCTTCAAGGAAAAAAACGAAGAAAAAAAATCTAACTGAGACTTCGTAGGTTCAAAGATCACCGTTCGCAAAAATATTTTCTTCAAGGATACCAATTAATTATCTTATAATACTGAAGATAACGATTTGAGCATATTCAGTTCAGGCATGGTCATGTATCATTGGACCAAAAGAAAAGATTTACGAGTTAACTACAAGGGAACGGTTCAATGCTTGGTACACGTTTTTATATATTAAGTTGTTTTTTATTTCTTGGTACCCGTACCGAACTTTTTGGCCATAATCATATCTGATCATTGTAAAAT